AAAATAAATAAAATATAAAATAAAATAAATAATAAAATAAAAAATAAAATATAAAATATAAATAAAATAAAACGTCATAGAATAGAATAGAAATCACCCAGGTTTTCCCAGATGATGCCCCAACTAAATAGTAACCAGGCTTAACTCTGCTTCAGATCAGACCAGGTGCATTCACAGTGGCAGAAAAAAGGGAGAAGCCGGGGTGGAGTGACTCACGCCTGTCACCCCAGCACTTTGGGAGGCTGAGGTGGTCGGATTGCCTGAGGTCAGAAATTAGAGACCAGCCTGGCCAATATAGTGAAATCCCATCTGTACTAAAAATACAAAAATTAGCCAGGTGTGGTGGTGGGCGCCTGTAGTCCCAGCCACTCAGGAGTCTGAGGCAGGAGAATCGCTTGAACCCGGGAGGCGGAGGTCGCAGTGAGCAGAGAACCCTGTCTTTAAAAAAAGAAAAAGATTTTTATATTTTTAGGCCGGGCGTGGTGGCTCATGCCTGTAATCCAAGCACTTTGGAGGCCAAGGCGGGCGGATCGCCCGGGGTCGGGAGTTCAAGACCAGCCTGACCAACACGGTGAAACCCCGTCTTTAAAAAAAAAAAGAGAAAAAAGCAAAAACAGAAAAATTTAAAAAAGAAGTTTCTTTCTTTCCTCCAAAGATTACCGTTCTGGGTGACTTGGATAATCGGTACAACCTTCCAACCTCTGAGCCCAGAGCTAAGCGTACGGTGAAGATCAGAGCCGCTGACTTCCGCATTCTGACCTGGGGTCCCTGGAGCAAGCCCACTGAATTTGGTAAGTCCTGGGGCGAGCTGGGTGGACGTAGGGGACATTTGTGCCGTCTGTCACCACCTCGAAGGCGGAACAGAGACATCAGCTACCGTGTCACCCCAGCACATTGGAAGACCAAGGCGGGCGGATCACGAGGTCAGCAGTTCAAGACCAGCCTGGCCATCATGGTGAAACCCCGTCTCTACTAAAAACACAAAAATTAGCTGAGCGTGGTGGCGGGCGCCTGTCATCCCAGACACTGGGGAGGCTGAGGCAGGAGAACCGCTTGAACCCGGGAGGCGGAGGTTGCGGAGAGCCAAGATCGTGACACCGCACTCCAGCCTGGGCAACAGAGCGAGACTCTGTGTCAGAAAAAAAGAGAGAGAGAGAGAGAGAGTTTAAGGCTAGGAATACTGTCATGTCCTGTTATTTTTTTATAGAGAGACGGGGTTTCACCATGTTGGCCAGGCTGGTCTCGAACTCCTGACCTCAGGTGACCCGCCCACCTCGGCCTCCCAAAGTGCTGGCACGACAGGTGTGAGCCGCCGCGCCCGGCCTATGTTTTTTTGAGATGGAAGTCGTCACTCTGTGACCCAGGCTGGAATGCGGTGGCAAAATCTCAGCTCACTCCGACCTCCACCTCCCAGCTTCAGGCGATTCTCCTGCCTCAGCCTCCCGAGCAGCTGGGAGGACAGGCGTCCGCCACCACGCCCGGCTAATTTTGCATTTTTTTGTAGACACGGAATTTCTCCATGTGGTTCAGGCTGGTCTCGAACTCC